CGCCACGTGCGGCGAAGAGGCGTGCCATTTCGGAGAGCGGGATCATGTGGCCCGGCGACAGGTACGGGAGGAAGAACATCTCCAGAGGGCGACTCTCAGACTCGGAATAATCCATGGCGGCCGGAGGATACAATTTGTTGGATTTGTATTATTACTATATATATAGTTAAATCAAATCTCTTTTCAATTCTTTATTTTTTTTTCTCTCATAGAAATCAATAATGGGGTAGCCAGCTGGCAGCTACAACTAACTAAGCTCGTTTAAAACGAGWATGTGTTGCGGGAGTATTGATTAAAACAAAATTACAACTTTGTTTTCGATCCTCTTTAATTAATATTGTTTGAGGGAAGGAAACCAGAGTGCCGCCACATGGAGGACAGTGATTCGTCATCGTTTTTCTGATTAAACTATGTTTGGAAGATGAGAATGCAGTTGCTTCTCAAAGAACAGGATCTTTTTTTTTCATTCTTGAGAAAAGAGAAGCCCGCAGATCTGGCGCTAATGGCTTCTTCAATCAAGTGATGTTGTTGTAGCCAAACAACAAAAGAAAGCATATGAACAGCATCGATAGTTGTAGACAATAAAAAAAAAGTTCTTCGAAGCTGTGCTAATGGTGGTCAAGGATAAGGTACTAGTTTCAGTGGGAGACATTGAGTCTGCATGAGAAAGATGGGAGACTCCCCTGTACCTCTTTAGGGGAATGTATGAGTCAGTGACAATGGTAAACAYGAAGTTTCTTCGGCAACGGTTTCAACCTGACAGGTTTAACCTTAACTCCAACCAGGTAACCACCTCTCGGAGCCTAAACCAATAAATAGACGACCTCATTTCATTATCAGGTATCGAATTTCTCCTCGAACTTAATACAGAGTCTGAGCTGCTTGCTTACTGACTTGAGCGTCGGAAATTTTGCCATTTTGTACAGGTGATCCGATTGTGTTCCAAGTTGGAGCTAGGATGGTGTTAGAATTTGACCAAAGTTTGACAATTGTGCAATTCTTTGCATAAACAAATATAAAATTATTTTATTTAATGGAGTGTTGTGTTGAAATTGTGATACAAACGATGAGATTAAAAATAAAATTAAGAAACTACGATGATCATTTTTATAGGAAAATTAAGAAATTGAAATTACAGTGAACAAAATAGTATTTAAGGTTTTTTTTTATATCAACACATAAAGTACATATAATTTAGAAATTTTCAATCTGTATAATGGTGAGTACCAGAGGAGTGAAATCAAATCAATTAATATTGTGAAGTCAATTGAAAATGAGAAAAAAGATTGAATAGAGTAATGAAGGGCAATAAAATAAATTAAAAAAAAGGACCAACGGTAGAATTCACTAAAATTTTAAAAATAAAATAAATAATAAATAACAAAAGGAGAAAATGGTGAGGGATGTGCAGCCATATCGTGGGGAGGGGAAAATCGCATAAATAAGCATTTTCCACGGGCCAATTTTGTTTTTTAATCATCCTTTCAAAACACAAATTTTTTAAACACGTGATGATGTCAATTTTTGGTGAAATTATGTATTTATCCTCCTTCAACTTTTCATCTTTTATCTCATTTCTCACTTTTCTCTCTCCTC